GGGAAATGGCGCCTGCTCCCGTTATGAAGGGGATTGCACGGTTTTGTGCCTGTGCCTGTGGGCTGGACTCAGTGCCCTGGGAGGTCCTGCCAGTGACCCTGCCTGGGAATTGTGCAAATCATGAAGAAGCTGAACAAAGAGCTCATCTCGTCTAGCAGCACCTGTGTTTGGTGTCAGATTAGAGAGGAATGTATCTGATGTATTTAGAGAATTTAGGTATTACTTACTGTTACATTTGTGAGACCATCCACCAGTTTTAATAAAGCACATGCAAAATCAGGAGTCTCCACGAGCACACTTGTACCGCAAGCCCAGAACAATCGGGGCTGGCTCTGTGCCAACGCACTCAAACCTGGACACATCCACCTCACGAGGTGCTGCAGCAGAACCAGTAAGTCCCGATGAAAGGAGGTGCTCTGCGAGGGGCACACGAGAGGCAGAGCTGACGGTGGCATCTGTCCCAGCTGGTCCATTCCTGCCTAAGGGTGGCTTTGCCCTATGTCCTCTTCCCTACCCCTCCCTCCAGTTCCAGGATAATGCCTGAGTCAACTCCAGGGGTGGGACTATAGATACGTCTGCACATATAGATATGTTAGCTACGTATAACTTTCATTATTTATACATCTTGAGCTCAGATCAGCTCATTTTAAAAAAAATTAGATTTCCTCATCTTGTTAATAACTCAATGCAAAATTACAGTGTACAAAAGGTGTTTAAGAATATTCTAATGGAAAAAAACTTGTAACATTAAATATATTTCCTGGGAGCTATAAGAAATACTCAATAATCTGAGAGGAATAGCTGTATTTGGTAGAAGTATACTGCATGTGGGCTTTAATTTCTGAAGTTTTAAATGTTTCCAAAGGAAAGATCCTACGAACTAGAACATTCATAAGCCTTCTTCAAAATTTCCCTTCCAGTCCTTTATTATAGTCACATATATATTTTATATGGCCCTGTTTCTAATTCTTAGATTCAAGATTACAGCTGTAGGAATTATATTTCCCTAAAGGTTTTTAATATATAGCACTATGAAATTTTTATAACAAAAAGGAAAATACACATTCCAGTGACTGATTTTAATGAAGTTTAAGATATAAATGTAGTAAATTATATTGATGCCAGAGACCTTTTTTGCTTTTTGAGATTAAGTATGAAACACTTAATTTCTGTTGTTCTGACAGGGCAAAGAGCTAACCACAACATACACAGGTTAGAAAGGTTTTGCCATGGGGTATGTATATCCACTCTGGGTAGATAGAAAAATGATAGACGTACAAACCTGAAGATAATGCTGGCAATAATTATGATGAAGAACATGAAGAAAGCTTCAACTTTTCATATCATGTTGTCTGAAAATATCAGCATTTTTGGTAACATAGATGGACTGCTGCAAAGTTTAGCAATCAATCTGTATCCAGAAATTTAATTAATCTTCAGTCATACAAAAAATAATTACACATTTAATGTTCTGCTGAAAAGGTGCATTTAATCTGCTAACATTTGACAGCTGCATTTTTCTTCTGAGCAGAACAGCGGTGGCTTTTCAATATTAGGTATGCGCATAGCTTGAAAGAATGAGATCAGAGCAAAGGTCTCCCAGCTGGTTTTTAAGAAATCTAATGGTAGCTGGTAATGTTAGTAGGAACACTCTTCTTTTCTGCAGCAGAAAAGTCATTAGCAAGAATCTCCCTCCTTCTCCATCTATCTCCAGCAAATTAAAGCCAGACAGGAGAAGCTGTTATAACTGGGGATGAAGTCAGGTTCTGCATACTAACGTATGTGCCATATACGGTGGTTTACACCAACATGTTTAAATTGTGTTTGCTTAATCCCCTGGGATGATAAATTTATTTTAACATGTGTTAAATATTTTAACATCCTATAGGTATATCAGTGGTGTATGTCATGATTTAGGATTTTCTGTAAATTACTGTCAGTGAGAATTAGTGTCCACGTGAGTGAGCTTATAAGAGTTAAAAGGAAAGATGCAGGCATCAGAGACAGCCACCGTCAGAGAATTATACCCAGGATTATAACAGAGCATTAGCTCACACAAGTGCCAAGTGCTTCACGGCGTACGCTGGATGCAGCGCTCCTCCTAGCCAGGGTACCGGCTTTCCTCAGGTTCGCCCTACTGAACCATGGAAGACAAAACTATCAGTGCCTTTTAGCATCAGTAGCTATTTAGTGTCATTTGTGCCTTTAAAAATTGACCCAAAAAGTTAGAATTGCTGCTTATTAGGGAACCCTCGGTAGAAAGAAAGTCCTTGTAGTTTGTGCCTTTAAAAATTGACCCAAAAAGTCAGAGTTGCTGCTTATTAGGGAACCCTTGGTAGAAAGAAAGTCCTTGTATTTTATTCACGTGCCAAAGAGTAATGGGGCTTGGTCTTTCTCTTAGAAGGGTATGAAGTTATTCAAGCATGTTTACTTGAGCAGCAAAAGAAATGTATCTGCCATACATAAAGTGTGTGCACTGCTGGTCCCTTGCCACAGGGACACAGCAGTCATCACCTCTGGCTGTCCCTCGATGCTGCTCTCTCCAGCCTACAACTGGCAGAAAGGGGCTCCAGGAAATGCCAGCCAGGACTTTTTGAGTGCTTCCCGCTTGTTTAGCCAAGCCGTTTGATTTTTTGTTGCGTATTCTTCTTTAAAATCAATGTGACATTAAACAGCAGCATTATAAATTTACTCTTTACAAGGACAGTTTAGCAAGTCATTTTTAAGAGTGTGGTTTTGCACTAAGAGTGCTGCAGGCACAAGGCTGTTTCATATACACAGAACAAAACATTACAACAGGCAGATCTGCAAAAAACTTGGTGCTAAAGTATAAAATGATGTTTCCAATTTACCTGATTTGCCATTTTATCCACATTTCCTCTAAGAGAGAAAGAAAAACATCAGCTACATGATGAGCTTGCTGAAAACTCTTTTGCCAGCAAGTGATTGTACACTGACGGAGACAAGTGTCCCTGTTGCCAGCCTGTTTCACAGCTCATGTGCATTGCATGGGGCACCATGGTCCTGGTGATTTATGGAGCTTTCAAGAAGGTGTTGTTGCTGTGGCAATTAATGCATGCTCCCTGCTGCTGTATATGATAATTGCTCTGGAAATTAGATATTACTCTTAATTTTCTTTGCAGTTTGTCAATTACAGGTTTGTTGACATAGTTGCCATGACAAACCAGGTGACCTTGCATACCAGGAGAAGCACCTGGCACTCACCTCCAGTTGCATCTCTATGCAACTACAGAAGAAAAGTATGTGCCATAAGAGACTACACATAATCACTGTCCGACAAGATGAACCTTCTCCCCTTTGAACGTGGCAGTTTAGAGGGATGGGTTCTTCTAGGACAACAGCAACACAGGCATGACGACACTGCTGTGCAGAAACAAGCATGGATGTTAAGAAGATGCATCTCTTCAGATCAGGATAAAATCCACCAAGTCTGAGAAAGTGGAGCTGGAATTAGTAAATCTTTGTCAGCTGATCATCCCTTTGGCAGTCTAAGCCCCTGACCTACAGCTGGGTTTCAGACGGAGGGCATTCAGGTTCCTTCTGGCAAACAAGAGCAACCGTAAAATTTACAGAGAGCTCCATAATAGCAGCAAAATTTACAAAATTGGTGGCTTTTGCACATGGCTGTCTCTGAATAAATACATTGACTACCAAGAGAACCAACAATTCCCCTGTCCCTGTCACTGATAGAAGCTATACCAGTAGATGTTAAGGTATTTGTGGGCTGAATTTAGTCCATGATTTTGAGGGTCAGTAAGAAAAAATAACCATAAAATACATCCCCATGGAATTATTACAAACAGTGAAACTTTGAATAATAATTTTGTTTTGTTTTCCAGAATAATTTCAGTGGAGCTGCCTGAAGATGCAAGACAGATTGGCATTCAGTTCAGATGGTGGCAACCATATCACTCTTCTCAAGGCGAAGATGTGTGGGCGATTGATGAAATCATCATGACTTCTGTGCTTTTCAATAGCATCAGTCTGGACTTCACCAACCTAGTTGAAGTCACACAGTCTCTGGGATTCTACCTGGGAAATGTTCAGCCCTACTGTGGACATGACTGGACTCTCTGGTGAGAAACACATATTCATTTCTGTTCTACTTTTCTTTTCTTTGTCTATTCACCCTGCTAAGAACCTGGCAGCTATTCAGAGTAATTGTGCCTCATCCTCACATTATAGACAAAAATACAGTTGCTCATCTAATAGCAATTAGCAGTAAGTTTTTACACCCATTGCACAGAGGTTTATTTTTGATGGGAACTTTGAGTGTAGCATTCCTTCCCCCAAAATATTTAAAGAATATCCTAACAGAAACAATTTAGAAAATTTTCATAATCTTCACTTAAAATCCAGTCAGGTTAATATGGGTATACAGGTTATGAAATAATCTGTTAAGTGCAGACTCTGAATATTTTGTAAGTGATGTTCAGATCTGTTTACATAGCCATTAGGTTACACTCCAAAAAGGAAAGGCAGCAGAATGTTGGTAGAATGACGTTAGTCATTTGTAGTTATTTTGTCTGGTATTATATCCATTTAGTCATTTACACTGTGATCAGCATTATGACATATTGCAATTACGCCTGAAATGTGCTGTGTATTTAGAAACAAAAGCAACAAAACATCACCTGCCCTAAAAGAAAAAAAGGCAAGAAAATAAAAAGAAGTGAAAAACAAAGAAGAAAATTCTGTTAGGATTGTGTAAAAATAGGCTTTTTTAGTAAAACGTTAACCTGCTTCACAAAAATTAAATTTTGGAGTACCTAAGTGTAACATTTGGAATTAATACAAAGGAAGCTCAATTTAATCTCTATGTTTTGATTAAAATTAAATAACAGTTTCATGGTAGTTTGATCAACATATAAACCCAGTATGGCTTTAATTGGCATAGATATATTTATTTGGAGAAAGTACAATCACAGTAATTATAGAAAACCTCAAGAAAATATAAATAATTTTAGCGTCCCCATGGGCACTCAGAGAAACACTGTTGGAATTTTATTAACAAGTATCTCTGAGCAATCTGATTTGACTTTCTGATCATCTGTCAAACTAAAAGGAGTTGGCTTAGCAGTAGGAACAACACTGAATGTGTTCTAGCAGTGATAATGAGGCAGTAGAAGCACCATTAACCACTTTAATAAGGACAAGGAAGGTACTCGCTGCTCATTAAAATGAAACAACATGTTAGGGCTCAAACTGTTTGCATCTTCTTCATCAAAGAGTGGAATGAAAGCTCTTTAATGACATTGTTTTCACTCTGTTCTTGTAAGACCGGTTTATCATGGGGAGGCGGGTATGTTGTTTAAGATAGCAGACGTTCCTCTGTTTTACTCCTATGGCTCTAAATCAGAATCAAAATAATAAACGCTAAGCTAAATTCTCCATCCCATATATGGCCTAGGATTTGTAGTGCTCGGTCATAGTGGAAATGTTGAACTTTCCATGCATCAAATAAAGAATCGAAGCCTTTGAAATATTTCCTTGCTATTTATGTATAAGTTTTTTTCATTATCACTGGAAGACATGAACTCTATCCTTCACTGACCTTGTTTCTCTCAAGGGAAATTTTTAAACTTACACAAAGTCTGTACAAATGGCTGCTAGTTAAATTAATTATTGTTGGCTTTTCCCAGCTGTGAGTCCATTTGGTTCTCATTTTCTAACTCATGACTTTCTATGAGCAGAGTTTGCAGTAGCACTGACACCATCCTCTTGAGAAAAGTCTGACAACTGCTTTTTCATTAGTAAATATGCTATAAATCATTTTACAGGGTGTCATCCCCAGGCCCATTTTCACTGAATTGCCTTTAATTGTCTATTAGGCTTCCGTTTCTGCCTCAGAATCTGAAGTATTTATCCTTAAAATTGGGGAAAACTGATGAGAGGGATTTTTATTTTTGTTGAAGAGAGAGTTTATTCTTTCCACTCTCTGACTACATTTAGAAAAGAGAGGTTTGTTGATATACATATGTTTTGAGCAAAGGTGATTTTTGAGTGGTTTAGAATGGTATCTGGAACAGTCACTTGATTTGATTGTAATCATCAATGTTTGATTTTAGATTGGTTCTTAGACTTTATTACAGCAAGTGTATTGGGTATACTGAAAGGACTCCAGAACACTTTTTAAATGAAGTGTTTGATGATGTACGTTAATTCATCACTTCTCCAAAATGCTCATACACAGGCAAGGTTTTGACCCAAATGCTTCTGGAGTGTTACAGAATATTTACAGCCACTTGCTGAAATGCATTTACATATTGATAAGGACACTAAAACTTTTTTTTTTAAAAAATATTCATCTTGACACAAATAAAATAGCATTATATAAAAAAACTGTCTTCAGTCAGATTATGACATTATGATTTAACTCAATGTAACGCACAATAGAGTGTCCCACTGTCCCTGGAGCAGCCTGGGGCAAGACTGTAAATCTAGCTCATAATGAACTATCCTTTCGGAGCAATATAATACAGTTGCCCTACACCATCTTGATAGTTTACATGTGTTTATAAAATGTTTTGTCTTTTAGATTAATTATTACCCTGTACCATGCAGAAAGTTTCTTTCAGTAATTGACTTAATTAAAATATATTAATACATTTTAGGAATTATTTAACAAAGTAGGTATGACATAAACGTCTCCTGTCTTTGATGGAAGCACAGCTGGGGCTAGCGTGAGCGTTTGGCCATCATGTCAATATTCTCGGTCAATGCAGCTTTACAAAATCAGCTGCATCTCTGTGGCTTTTCAGTATTCCTGAAAGTACTGGCCTTGAAAATGTGGTAAATCTGGGGATCCCAGAGCAGTTTGGAGCAGCGCAGATTGGCTGACATTGGCTGTGATATCATTCCCAGAAGTACCAATTAGTTGGCCGTGCTTGGAGGGAGAGCGATTGTTCTGAGGGTACCTATGGGTATTGTGTTCCTGCGCCTCCACAGGTCTAATTATATATGTGCTAGAAACAAACTCACAGCTACATATTTATACAAAAATGTAGCCTTTGCATTCTCATTTCTGCAGATTTTTTAGTTAATTATTGTTATGCCAGGGACAGTAGTCTGTCTTTTACAAAATCCAGAAACGTATTCCAGCTGCGTGACTCCCAGAACAAACAAAGAAAACATTTGCTATTCCAGCAGAAAAGCATACCCCTAACCACATACACAGGAGAGCTGGAAAGCGAAGAAGCTGCAAGTAAGGTGGAGCCCCCACCTTTAATGCTACCCTTGTTCAGCTGGAGGCAATTTGTGGATGATAAAGGACTTTGTGAACCCATAATGTGATTTCCTCCCCTTAAAAGAGCTTCTTATGGAGCATCACAGATTGTCTTCATCTCCTCACTACCTTCCTTTTTCACATTTCTTTAATATCCGTTTTAAAGAGCTGTTTTGACTTTAAAATGATGCTTACTTAATGTACTATATACAATATCCAGTGGCTAAGTTATTACATAAAAATGAATACTAAACTTAAATTGTTTTAATCATGACCTGAATGCCACCAGTAAAAAAGATCAGAGTTTAAGATTTTTTTTTTTTCTAATTTTACACCAGTAATATAGAAAAGAGGGAATTTTTGTGGAGACAAAGACAAAATGAAACATTTAATTCTTTGCACCTACGCTGAGCACCAGTCCTTCACCTTTCTTCCACCACTTTGGGGAAGATAGCTTCCAGGCGGATGCTTCTCCAAACTGTTTAGTTTTGACTCCTTTATTCTGTTCAGATAAGCTTTAGGTAACTGTGATGTGTTGTGCCCAGGTTTATGGGGGCAATGCCAAATCATTTTCCAAATCATTGCTACATTTAACTTTCAGCAGATTACACTGCACATAGCTGACTGATACTTGAAGACCCTGATTGTACTGGCACAGATTTCCCAAGAGGGTTTCAGTAAAACTTTGATTTCCCACATCAGCCATGAAATTTCAAGCTGCATTGTAGAAATTAAAACTATGTCAGACCGAGTCAGCTTTAACTTTTAAATTTTCAGTTTTTGGTCATTTTGAAAAGTACAAGATAAGGTTTGGAAGAAAAATAAATTCAGGCATTATCCAAACAAATTCTTCTGAGATGCTGATGAGTGTACATTATGCCTCCTTGCTCAACTTAAAATTATCCTTCCCATTGAGAAGAAAAACACTGACAACACTGACTGAAAGAGCAAACAGTTGAGAGAGTTTTCCAAGGCAACTTACTGCCTTCTGGTCCAGTTGTCCATGACAGTGCCCCAGCAGTGAAGGGAATGTCCATCCTCAGTCTGTTCATGGTGCTGATCGACGTAGACTGGATGGTTTCATAAGGTGCCATGAATTGGATCATCCTTTAGGAAATGAAGTCACAGAGAGCAAGGTCAGAGAGTAAAAAGGAGCCTGGATCTTAACTTGTGCCAAGTAATAGCAATTTGATAATGACAAAACTAATGTCAGCTTTCAGTAATTTCTTCTACAGCTTTAAGGTAGGATGCTGACATTTATGGCTTAACTGCTCTCTCTGGAAAGGACACTATAGGAAACAGTGTGGGTCAGTGAATTAATTTAAAAGAGTGCTAAGTAATGCTGACTTGTATTCCTAGTCCTTACACTGACTTCATTGTGACCTTGAATTTTACAGGGGTAGAAGATAATATGTTTTATTGTACGGTATTGAAAGATTAGGATTTCTTATTTAAGATGATAAACTGTAACTTACTCAACCATAAAGGAAACCTTGAACTAGATTATTCTCTTCATCACCACTGTACTAAATGTAACTTTTTATTTTTGCATGATGATTTGCAGTGATTTTCTTTAAAAAGATGCAATCCCTATCCTAAATTGTTTACATTTAAGAATAGTCTTAGAAAATGTTGAAGCTGAAAGAACTACAGTACTTCTGAAGATGCTAACTAAACATCTCAAACCAAGGAGAGGGAGATGATTTTCATTCTATGTGAATTTTCTTAAAAACATTCTGTTTTGAAAGCTAGTGTGCAGGATTCAAAATTTAAGGTGTTATTACTTCCTTCTTATACCTCTCTTGCATTTGATTTTTTTCCCTTTTGAACAGCGCATAAAAGAAAAACCTGCATTTAAATTGAAATAACCTTGTAATTTCAAACTATATATTGTGTTACCATGTATGTGATAACTGGGTACCTTGTATCATATATGAGGCTTGGTGAGTTCCAAACATTAATACTGACAAAATTATCTTCTCCAATCCACTGGATAGTATAACTCTTATATCAGTACATCCTGCAGAAAAGAAGCTGAGGATAGGTGATATTAATTCTGAAACACAGTCAAAAGTCAGTGAATTCATTGCATATAGAATCACTTGAAAAATCAATGGAATGAAAAGTCTATGTAATAAGAATATTTTAAACTAAATGCAGTGTATCTTCCCAGTGTTTGAATGAAATTACAGCTGTTACTGTGACATGACCTTAGGCAATGGACACTCCTGGGGAATGAACTTTCTTTTTGTTGTTTTTTCTGTGCGTTTTCCTTTGCTTGATCCTAACTTGATCCTTAATACAAAGAGCATATAGTAAGAACTAACAGAATAATTCAGTGTTTCACACTCTGGGATACTTCAGGGCCTTCCTGGTAATTTGCAGAAGTACCAACGGAAAGATGCTTCTGTGCGTGGTCTCATCCCATGTGCCAATCTGCAGAACAAAGAAAGAAGCATTGCTGTATTTAACCCAGAACCATTCATAATGTTCCCTTCTGAATTATTTTCGGGATGGATCCTGATTCTTTCCTTACATTTCTCAGTTTTACAGGAGATTCAAAGTTAGCTTCTAGCATGCGCTACGTGGAGACCCAGTCTATGCAGATCGGAGCTTCGTATATGATACAGTTCAACTTGGTGATGGGCTGTGGTCAGGCATTTACTCCTCATATGGACAACCAGGTGAAGCTGGACTACTCCACCAACCATGGCCTCACGTGGCATCTTGTTCAGGAGGTGAGGCTGGCATCGAGGACCTCTGTCTTCCATAAACTCTGCTTATACAAAGATCATCTGGAATATACTTGTGGCATTGAACAAAGGAGGATGTTTTCCTCATTGCCCTTTCTATAAAGAAATTCTCAGTTGCAATCAGTCAAAATGACTAACAGAAGTATTTAAACTGTTTTTCGTGATATTTGGAAGAAAGGTATCTGAGAACCTGAAACACACAATTGTGACAGGAATGGACCAAGTCTGAGAAAAGAACTGGGGCACAGTTAGACAGAGCTACAGAGTAATGGCCGACATCTTTCCTGCACTATTGCTTTGTTTTTCAAAGCAAAATGCATCTACTGTTTCCTGGCATTTAAATGGATAGAAATTCTTTCTGCCCTTGTGCGCAGCCATTTCGTAAATGGAAAGGCATTCCTTCGGGGGATTGTAATGTAGAGCCTTTCATCTCCCATCCCTGGTTCAAACACAGTCCAGGGCCATAATGACCGGCTGTTTCCCTGCCTCTGCTAGAAGTGCAAATAGCAGTGTTGGCTGCTATTTCCCCGTGTGGCTCAGCCCTGTCTCAGCACAAATGGGAATAGCGCATTTGGACATAATTTGTGCTTTTGTTTTCCCTCTTAGATGGCAAGCTGGACTTTCCCTGGCCTCAGGGTGAACTAACCAAGGTCCTTCGGCTGCCTCGAAGCAGGTTCAGAGGGTGTCAGGGAACTTGTCCTGGTGCCTTTTCACTGTCTGATCTGTAGGTTCACAGAGGGATTTGAATGTCCAGTCCCACATCTTCTATGAGCACTGAAAGCATTGTCCTGTTACCTTTTGCCATGTTGTGTTTCGCCACATTTGCTTTGTTGGGCAGAGTAGGGAAATGGCAATAACTGAATTTTTAAACTTTGCAAATCCAAGTGATGCTTTCTTACCTTAAACAGAATTCAGAGGAAAGCTGTAAATACTGTATTTCAAACAATGTTCATGTCTTTGATACCTAGCAGGCATCATCATGGTGTCCAAGAATAGTTCCTAGTGGTGGGTGTTTAGGGTTTGTCCTTGCCATCAATGGAAGATCAGTTGCCTTCAGATTTTAGTGCTCCTTTCCTCTCTCAGTGGAGCTGAGTTCAGAGAGAACAACTTGCAGCCAAATCATTTTTCTCACACCACCCATGTTGCTGTGATAAAAGAGTAATAGATAAGGCTATTTGTAGAATATTTCAAGGACGTAGTCTGGCGAACACAAAAAACACTAATTAATTAAAATGTTTGAAAGTTTTGTTTGCTTCGCATGCACTGATCAGATCCTATTTTATAAGATCTTTTAGGGGAGATGAATTAATGAAAAATGTTTGAAAACCGACGGAAAGGAAATTAAGCCTTTAGAAAATCTACCGAAAAAAAACCAATTGCATAAGCAATCAGATTTTCATTTAATACTCTTAGGTATTTAAGCAATAAATTTCTCTGTAAAATAATGTATTCTGTCCTTCTTCGTATTTAATATACAACTATTACTGTATAATTTAACTAGATTAATATTCTTAATTGTTTTAACTACTGTAGAGTATCAATGCTTATTATTAGTTCCATAGCAGTCGAAGTATGCTATTTGCATAGGCAAGTGTCTGTCCCAAAGGTCCCCCTTGTGCCTGACACTCTCCATGGGGATGAGCACAACAGTGAACAGCGAAAGGCTCTCAGAGATGTGGGGACGGTCAGGAGGAGCTGTGCTGGGGCAGTGGTGGCAGAAGGGACTCTGAATGGGTAGCTAGAAAAGGAATGCACAGGTTGGTAATAACATTCAAGCGCTTTACTAATACCTCATCAAAACCATAGCACAAAAGCGTTGGGTGCTGTTCTAGCAATATATAAATAAATGAATGGAATATTGCAGAAAAATGGAGTAACATGGGAAAGGCAAGTCTAGAAAACTCTAAGAGGCTGGGAAAATAGACTGTGTTTATATTTAATATAAAAATGTGATAATGATCAGATTTTCTGAAAAGAAAAAAGAAAATTTTGGGAATAGACCTCTCTAGGAATCTGAGTTAAATACAGGAAGAATCATGGAAGCAGGAAGGAGGAATTTACACCACTTGCTGTAGGTGTCAAAGCTAATACAGCTCTGGAGGTAAGGGCCTCTGGAGGCAGCTTCAGCAGACTGCATTTGGGTGCTCCCGCATGGCTCTGGCCATTTCTACTGCTGCTCCCCATTGCAGATGGAGGGAGTGGGGGGAGCCAGCATCCCCAGGCCTCACAAGTAGTTCTCTAAAATGACTGGTATAATGGTCTGGAGGTCACTTTCGCAGACTTAACCCTCAGTGGCCTTGTAGACTTACTCCATAGTCAGCGCTGGGGTGAGAACAGTAAAAAAATGAGCTAGACATCCTCATGGAGGAAAACAAAAAATTACTAGTCACTAATGCCAAACATACCTCTTCAAATGAGTCATATGGTTTTTCTCCTATCCTGAATTGTACTACTGTTAGTTTTCTGAGAAATTTTTTGGATCATGCCAGGATATTTCTGCTTCTGAGTCTTTTGCTGCAACATCTGGACCCAGGCGAGCTCCTGGTTCTGTGAATGTTTAACCCTTGCTTCTGTTTCCAATTCTGCCTCAACATTAAATTTGGTTTTGAAATATTTTTTACTTCAAGGAATGTCTTCCCAGTATGCCAAGCTGTCAGGAGTTTACATCAGCAAGTATTTACCACTCCAGCGAATTTACTCAGTGGAGGAGAATCACCGTCCTTTTACCACAGAAGACTTGGTGAGCATTTCTTTCTTGGTTTTTCTTTTTTTTTGATGCAGATAGTTCATCTACTTTGATATTGCTATGACAGAGATCAAGTCCTCTGTAGATGATACTCAAGCCAGTGGGTGGGGGGTACCAGGGTACCGGGGCTGACCCAGTTGCAAGTATTTAACATAAAATGCCTTCCTTACATAATTAGAGAATGAAATGTTGGTGAAGTCACCAGAAACTATTGTTTAGGATTGTTTTTAATATATAATGTGACTCTTCTAATAAAGTTCAGACCTTTTCAAAAATAGTGGTGCTTGTCTGTAAATGGCCCACTGGAGGAAGGCTTTATTTGGATTGTTAATTTTTATTTTGCACATTCCTTATTGTTTACATCTTCAGACCAAAGCCTAGTATAAACAGTAACTAATGATTCATTTCTGGGAATTTTTTACCTCTTGTTTCTTTTTATAGCATGTCTTCAAAAATAACATTCTCTTCTGCACAAAACAGCAACAAAAATTATCAGAAAGCCCTACCCTATTCATCTTATTGTAATCAAACTTGTTTTGCCTGCCCTAACATTTTTATTTATTTAACTAGATTATTTCTTCCATTATTTATTTTAAAAGCTTTATTATGACATACAAATAAAAAGTTGTCACAAATCTCAATAATCTTAAGGGCTTCCTTCATTTGAGAATTAAATTATTCCAATTAGAGTTACACCTTGCTTATGTTTGACCTGAATCCACTACAGCAATTGCAATGACAGCTTGCTCAGATTAAGTTACCATTGTATTTCCCTGTCCATCATTTTTCTGCATTCTCCATGGCCTCAACACAACCTATTTCTATCAACCACCCCACAATATACTGGCCATTTTTACTGTACAGACAATATTCAGAATTTCATATTCCCAGCCAAAACATCAGGGGCAAATATTGAATCCTTGAAGTGTATCAGGTCAGATAATTCCAAATGGCACAAGTAAGTCTATGAATAGCTGCCTTGTAGTTAGATTATAATGTACTGAATCTTACATGCCGTTATGTGCCACCAGCTGTAAAAACTGTGGTGTACATAGGCACTTAGGAGTTTAAAAAGTGTCTACAATTTTGCAGGATATACTCCAAAGTAGGCTGTTATTTTTAAATTTATTTATATGATATTTATACTGTACTCAAAGTTATTATTATACACTGTATAGTTGATGTTAATACCAATGTTGTGAGCTTTTTTTTCTTTAGGATCTAATAATTTTCCTCAGCATATGAGGTGACAGAAGCAAATAATTCCATTTTAATTTAGGAGACAGTGGGGAGAAATTATGATGAAATAATAGCAGGGTTCCTATTTTATGCTGTGCACAAATCATAAATATTTTACCCTCTCTCTTGTACCTGAAGGGATTCCCGTCTGTTAGCAGAGTTTTGTTTGTAATTAAGGTACAAATTACCACTGAACATTACTTTGCTCTTCATAAAACACTTTTTCAGTACAACTGTGCTGTGCTGCAGAGCAATCAAGGTGAAGGGGAAGGATGGCTGCATGTTCCCCACCAGAAGCAATCCAACACACCAGATGCATCTCATCCGCTTTCCCTCTTTGTTCCTTCCTTTCCACCGGCAAGGAGCAGACCGAGGGCTCAGTCGCTCCTTTGGGTTGAGATTGGGAGGGGATTTTTTTTCGCATTTTTAAAGCACAGATGCTAACAGAGGGCAAGATTCTGCCTTTACAACCCTGGGGGTTCCTGGTGAACATGTGATGTGCAGAGCTCCCCCGCCAGCCCGGCCACACAGAGGGCATCATCCCGGGGGCCTGGTAGCAAATATGGTCCGTAGGGCTCTTCCTCGGGGCGCCGGCCCTCCCTGTCCTCTCCCTTCCCCACCCACACTCCGCTGCAACAACCACCCATGGGTGAAAACTTAGTAACGGCCAGGAAAACCAGTGCAGAGGGCGAGAGGCGGCTCTTCTGCCTTCCCAAAACCAGGGGAAGGGGGCTCTGGGGCCCGTCCTTCTGGCTCAGCCCCATAAGATGAGGCCTGCCAAATACGCAGCCCGCCTTGTGCTTACTGCTCAGGGAAACAAACCACCTCAGGACTCGGGACCGGGGCCTGAGGTCTTGTCAGCCTTGCTCTGGCCCTCGGTAGCCTCAACGTGCCCTCACACCCCTGCACGGCCCCGCTAGGATTGCCAGAGCTTTCATGCCTGCGTGCACAGCTCCTTGCTGAGGGTTTGCACCGTGGGTGCATAGGTAGCGTCAGGCTGTGTTACTGTGCTCATGCAGCCGGAAAATTGTTCATAACAGCACCTATTTCTCTTGTAAAACTTTCTAGGCGTGCTGGTATTTCTGCACATCTGTAGATGTTCCGCATCTGGCAAGCATGAGTGTAAAAGGTCCCTGTGTTATCCGAGATTTGGGGTGTTAGGAAATCTGCTGCAAGAGTGAGACTTGTATTGGAGAAATGAAATGTATGCACCTGCTTGCTGAAATTGTATTGTACTTGGACTGAACATTTCTAACACTGATGAAAATTAATTTCAGTTTTATGGGAGGCATTTACATATGAACAGGACTTAATGAGATACAAGCAGCTGTCAGTTGCTGACTTCATAAACAAATCAACACCTAATGACTGAATGAGAGTTTCAGCATAATTGGGTAAATGTAATTATGGTAACTCAGAAGGTAGCAAATATAATTTTATCAGCTACAAATTTGCATTAGATCGTTAGGTTTTTTAATATCAGGAGAGAAGGCAATGATTTTATTTTAAATCACATATCTGAAAAATTTTATAACAGAAAGAACATCATTTCACTCGCAATACGTCTGGGACTCACCATGATTTCCTTGCGCTTATGTAAAATGTCACGCAACAACAGTGACTTTTATTTGACATCAACCTGACTTAGATATAATGTCACCAGAAAGCCAGATTGCTTTGCAGTAACATCAAAAAAACTGGGAAGAAATACGAGAAACTGGGGAGGTTTATTTTGCTTCTAATAAAACGCTTTCATAACTCCTCGATACTGGACTTCCCATTTGAATAGGTGTCCAAATGGTGACTGTCCAGAAAGCCAGTATTTTATCACTGAGAATGCAGCTGACACTCAGCTCCTTATTCTCTTTTCTTAATTAACGTGGGTTTTTTTAAATTCTTGATTACCATTTTTAACAGCGTAATCCTCTTAAGCTGTTGTTACCTTAAGGTGCAGAGCAGCCTCAGAAAGCTTTCAAAAACAGTGAGCAGGACTGGCTTTTCAGCAGTGTTGCTTTTGCAATTGCAAATGCAGCCTAACACGCGTTTCCCCTCACCCGGAGAGGAATCTGAATCGGTGAGAGCCTTTGCTGCCTGCAGCCATGTGGCGGTGGCCCCACGTTCCGCTTGCCTCCCATGACCTCCCCGCTGGGTGGGAAGGCGAGGGCAGCCCCTCGCCCTGCTGCAGCTCAGGGGCCGCGGGATTCCCGCAGCGGCAAAGCTGTCCCCGGGGGAGAGATCTCTTTGTCTGCAGCTAAAAATAACTCTGCCCGCTAGGATGTGGCTCCCTGGGGACCGTCCCCAGCCGTCCGGCTGATGCACACACCTCTGTTTTAGCCACATGTTCATCTTCAGGCAGCAGCACGACTCCTTCCTTCCTCCCCTCCCCTTAAATGAGGGAAACAAGTCTCCTGCCATCACTGCATTCATCTGGGGGAGCTTCTGAGTAACAAGCGGAGCTGAGCTCACCCTTAGCTTGATGTGCAGCCAACATCTGAGACTCGAGGAGGAAGATGGAGCCGCCCCAGCAGCATGTGGCTCTGTGCTCTGCGCCTTGTAGGGTGGCAGTCCTCTACGGCCAGGCAGCTCCCTGCAGCAGGAGGGGGATGATAAGCTTGACCAGGGAAACATTTTGCTCAGGTGAAACCCACGCAAGGCCCAGCAAGGGCTGTCAGCCCTGGTGTCAGCTCTGTGCCTTGCAGTGTGGGGCCAGCCCTGGGAACAGTCCCACAGCGGTGCTGCACGGGCATCTTCTCAGTAGGGTTTCAGGTGCGATGCTCCCCTGGGCACAGAGCTGTACCTTGTTATTACCTGTGGGTGGGCTCTCCCCACTGTTTGTGTAGGGTGCCCCAAAACCAGCCATGATGCACCCACACAGCCACCCTGCAAGGACGTTTGCACCCGGCAGCGGCTGGCAAGTAGCTGGGGAAATGCCATCGGTGCCAAGCAGCACCGAGAATTGTGCTCGGGGGGCACCACCACTTGTTGGGCACCAAAGGACTTCCATGGGATGTCTAAATTGCCCCCATATCACTGCAGAACCCCCCCCAATTTACTGTAAATACCCCTGGGGCTGCAGAGTCGCACACCTCACCTCTACCCACACACCTTCCCTAACGAAAACTGGAGGAGCCCAGCTGCGATGCTCTCCCTCCTGTCACCTGGACAAACATGACACAATTTTATTGTGCTGGGAGGCCATGGGGGGGGCGGTTGCCTGCTATAAAACCTTTCTTTGGTTTCACTATTGTTACTTTCCTCAGTGCACATGAAATTTAACACTAGTCATTACCATTTTTCTGAAGCACACAGTCTCTGTCAGGGTTCTCTGCGGTGCCATTGATGCTTTGTAGCGAACGTAAACACCACCACTGAGGTGATGTGCTGGCTTCAGAGCACTCAGAAAATAAACAATAAATAATTGTGGTGAATACTGACTGTCCATTGTGCCTATGCAAGTTTAGGAAGTTCTTCGTGTACACTTTTAATGGATAATTCATAGCTCTTGTAATGTAACCCATCAATACATTATATCCTAAGGGAGTATTTAATCGGCAGATTTGCCCCCACAGATTAGCTCTGCATGCTGTAAAAATGCTTACAGTATTTTCAATATCAAGCAGATACTTAAAACAGACAACAAGGGTCATTTCAATTAAAAATCAAGCCCTTAGGCAGTTTCACTTGGTTTTTAAAGAAATTAGAAATTGCTATTCTAAAAATTTCTCCAAGCATGTACTAAAATAATCTTTGTACGCTTGCAGTATGCAACTGGATGGTTAACTGCTCTGCTGTACTGTCCATTTTAGCTGCACAGGCCACCTCTATACATTTTTCCACTTCCATACATGCCAGCAGGTGGCTCAGCCACCTTTACAATATGCATTTTAACAGGTCATTCTACATAATTTTTTTTTCGGCGGGGGGTGGGGGTGGGGGTGTCCTTAAAGTAACAGCATTATATCACATGCCATCATACCATAGCCATATGGCTCAGAAACAAGCTAGGAAAGAAGCTCCTACTTCTTATAGCAACCACCTGCTTCTCGTCCTCAGCCCATCCAGTCGGCTCTTGGCCAGGCACAGGTCTGTCCCAGTTTAACACCTGATTTTTAATTCTCTGCAGTCAGCTTTGCTTTCCCTGTCCATCCCCTCCACAGCTCTGCGACCCAGTCTCAGCACCCACGTTGCCCCCACCACCCCTTTATTCCCAGACCTGTCATGCAGCTGGCACAGCCCCTTTTGCTCCAGCACAATGAATGATTTCCCGTCTTTGTTTTACTTCATGTGCAATATTTTTTTCTTAATCTCATTCTGGCATGAGAATGGAGTGGAGGGTCCCTGCGCCCACCAGCTGGGAGCTGCCGCTAGTCAATACCTGTAACCTGTTGGATGTGCACAGGTTGGCAGGGCAGCTTGGAAAGGCTCGATGGCAACAAAAATTACTCTTCTCATGATTCAGTTTCTTCTCCGGCTTTGTTTTTTGAGGGTGGTGGATGTCAGGCTGGGTTTAGCTAGCAGGAATCACTCAGCATGGAAAATGTCACTATCACATTGGACAATCTGCTAGACGGCCAACATCAAGCACTTTTTTAATAGATAATGTTACCTGACTCCACTATAATAAAGAAAAATAAAGCTGTTGAAGAGAAACTATTTAACTAGAGAGGAGAAACTACAGCAAGGTTTTCTGCTTGAAGAATATTACAAATATCCAGAGCTTAGTCATATATAGGCAAGTAATCTAATCCAATGATTCCCTACCACAAACCTTGGGTGGTATGGATTTAGGCTGAATAGTTGGCCAAGAGCAAGCTATTTGCAATGTGGAAAAAAATGGGTGCTATGAAACAGGATCTTTGTTAAAAACTGGTGATTGTAATGTCACCAGTGATATGTAAGCAAAATCTAGTTTAGAATCGTCCCGACAAAAAGAAATTTCTGTATCCAATAAAAACCAGTCAACTATTGTTGAATGGAAATAGCCAGTTTTTAAAGGGGAGAAATGCTCAAGAACTTTAATTTCATAAAATTGTAATAAATATCAGAAGAAAGCTTTTTACACAACTTATAGCCTGTTAACTGTGACAAAAATATAAAAATCAAAGTCATGCCCTAGATCCATCTTTCTAGTTTTGCATCCTGTCACCCTCACAGAACTGCATGCAATAAAAATCTGATAATATTCATTGATAGGTTTATCTTAAAATAATACACAAAGTCGCTGTAACACCTCTGCAGCCTTCCTCAGAGATGCCATTAATGACTGGAAAGTCCATTATAAAGTCCTGTGCAGCAAGCAGCATCATCTAGAAAGTTCATTTACAAAATTCTGTCTTTGGTTGTGCCAGTCTTTTCAGGCTGGGCTGCGATTATGATATTAACTTACTTTATTTTTTATAGTTGCATTTTATCTTTTTTCCAACAGTTCTGGAAAGAATCGCAAATTAAAGCATTGTTATTGGTTTTAAGGTCCAGCGCCACACGTTTCCGCTGGAGTCAGTGCTACTACACAGCCCAAGACGAATGGGCCTTAGACAACATCTACATCGGACAGCAGTGTCCCAACATGTGCAGTGGACACGGCTGGTGCGACCACGGCGTTTGCAGGTATAAAGCATTTGCCAGTTCTTCTTAAAAATGGTCTCCTGATACTTCAGGTATCCTATTATTTTGCATACTTTTTTTTTTTTTTTGCTTATTTTTAGATTAAACATTAAAAAATAAAAGCATTATGGGGGAGTTAGACCATTCAAGCACCATTAACAGCCGGTTGCTCCACACCTCTGTGTCGGAGAATCCATACCCTTAGCAGATCCAGGCATTGGAAGAGCTTTCAGGGGCACAGGGCTGCCCTGCTGCAGATGTCCTGGTGGCCCCTCTGGGCCTTTGCACAAGGACCCCAGGGACCAACTCAGTGCTGGAGCTGTTTCGCTGGGTCAGAAGGACGCCAGGGACCAGCTCAGCACTGCCTGGTAGCCACTGTCAGATTGGGTGCAATACCAAGGGCACAGACTACTGTCTGCCAGCTTCAAACTTTCTGGTTTTTTTTAGAAATAGGGTTTTTTTAGAAATAAGATGATATAGCTTTTTTCCATTATCAAGTTATTCTAGTTTGTTTCCAGGAACCAAAATTCCAATCCCAGAATGAATTGTTATTTCACATCTAATTTTAAAAGGTCAGTGCATCGCCTTAAGTAATTGTCAGTGTCAAATAAAGTCTTTAAAAGCTTGTTACATTTATATTTCCTTCCAGGTGTGACTCGGGGTTTCGGGGTACTGAATGTCAGCCTGAAAATCCCCTTCCTTCGACTGTCATGTCTGATTTTGAGAACCCAGACAGCTTGAAGACAGAGTGGCAGGAAATTATTGGGGGAGAGATTGTCAAGCCCGAAGAAGGCTGTGGGGTCATCTCATCTGGCTCCTCGCTCTACTTCAACAAGGTACTAACGAGGGATGGGAGACTGAGAAAGGCACATAATGTGGGTTTGAATGGAGCATTATGTGGTTATATGTGGCAAAGAAAAGGAAGGTGGCAGAAAGCAGCATGCAATATGAGAAGTGCATTAAACAGCGCAGCTGTGCTCCGCAGGTAAAGAACAAAGCAATCAAAAGAGATAGGGAGGGACACGTGCACTGTGTATTCAAGAAATACCAGCTGTAATGGAAGGAAGTAAATCACCAATGTGCTGGGAAGCGTGTACATTCATACTGTCTTAATTGTGCATTTTCTGTTTCGAGACTCGGTTCTTTCTCAGCAATCCCCAGCTCTCATTTGTTTGTTCTGTACTGTCGGGGCGAGGGATGGAGAAAGGCTTTCCAGGGGACAAGCAGCTTAATTTGAGGTCATGGGACCAAAACTTGTGAAAAAACAACCCCTCCAGAATTCTAGAAAGTGGTTAGCCTGTAGGAGGATACTCTTTTGTATAACTTGGATGCTCTGCAGACAAAAATAATAGAACAAAAAAGAGATATAGGGAATTCTGCTAATTAATAGCAATTATAACTAAAATAAAAAGAGATCTTTATGACCAGGTGTAAGATTATGGGTTGTAATCACAGATCTATTTTTTTTATTGTTTCTCCTCGGGTCTAGTACTGGGTTTTGTTTTGGTCTTAATTGAAAGGAAGGGTATAAATGCAGCTATCTGCTTTTCTTTTAAAGGTTTGATCAAACTGCCACCGCTGTCATGAGAGCCAGATTAGTCCCAGAAGAATAACCTAATATACAACGCTGTGTAATTGTGTGTTGTTTACCTCATTACAAAAATCTAACCCATCAAATAATTTTCAGAACTCCTACATAGTCTCACATCCAGCTCCCCTGGAAATGCAGCTCTGCGCTGAAAATTTCATAATAGACCAATCAGTATAACTAGCTAATTGTGATAATTGGATTTTTTTGTATAATTGTCTTCTCTGTTAGATGTTTTTCCTTCTGGCTCAGTTCCTTATGCCAAGTTTCTCAAAGTAGTTTGCTAAATTAGAATTAACCTGCTATGATCTTTCTTCTGATTTCTGCTAAGGAGGAGTGAAAAACTCATTTAGAAATTCTTGGCTTCTTTCTATTGATCTCTAAGGGTTAGGTTATCATTCATTTCTTGAGTAGTAGCAGTCTGCGTGCCATCAACAGAAGGTGGTTTATTTAATTTCTGTTTAGATCTTTTTCACAGCATCTAGTGGCCATGCTGGTAGAAAGTAAAAAAATATTTTTATAGTTGCCCAACAGTTCTGTATTGTTTTGGGAGCTCATATTCACAGGCTCAATTCCTTTGCATTTGCTCAAAGAGCCACTTTTTATTTGAATGTCTAATGTTTACTGCCATAATCAATTACTGCTACCAGAATTAATGCCGACCCTCTATCTTTTAGTTTACAACTCATTTTAATCAATTGTAGGTGTGTTTGCAACACAGAGCTCTTTCAATTAGCCCCTGCAATTCCTCTGAGGTTTTATGTCACTTGTGCCCTTTCTCAATTAACCTGGTTCTGTAGTTAACCCTTTGGCAGGCAGAGCTGCTGTGGGGTGTAGATATGGAAAACATACCTGGAATAGTTTTACAGCCAGAGCTTGATCCACTGCAGGTGAGTGTGGTGGGTATCCTCAGTCAGCCGGGACACAGCTGCCCATGGGACAGCAAGGCTGTTTACATCTTTATTATCCATTACGAGTTTGATTTAATGATGATAATTTCAAATTCCCGTGGGTCTCCAAAAGAAGCTGTGAAAACAAACTACCAAGAGATGATCAGTGTCACCTTGGCCAGTATTAGCCATGTGGGGCTGCACCAGGAAGCTCGGGGCTGCACCCAAGACTGAGCCCATCTCACTCTCATGGCACCATCCAGGAGGGCTTTACTTAGCTGGGGATAAACCAACAAATAAACCAAAACAGCAGGCATAATTCAATATGACTGTATCTTAAGTGAGTTTTTTCAGGGTCAAAGGATTCTTCATAGGTTTTAGTTGTCATTGGTGGTGTAAGCTGAGTTTCAAAAACACAAACATTCAGCTTCCAGAAATTAGTCTAGCAGTGTTATGTGGCCTACAAATGAGCTATGGACCCAGGCTGTAATGCCAGCAAAGCAGAATGTTCTGAGAAGGAAAGCAATAGACATTTATCTGTGCTGAGTTTACCCTGAACTGGATAGGAAGAGAAAAGAGGTGATGAGTGGAATGGGATTTAAATTCATCTATCATCTTATTAAACAACATAGATGATATTTTAAATCTCAGCTCATAAATCTTGGTACTTTTGTCCAGCTAGATCATGCCAATTGCTTGTCTCAAATTTGTGTGGAAATTTGTCAGGAGGATCTTGGATGTACAAGTGAGAGACAGGGAAAAACATAAATTTTACTTAAAACATAAGCATCATTTTATAACTTCGCTCAAGTTTTCCTTTTTGATACCTTTTTTGCTTGGAGATGGTCAAGAACCCATGATTTTTTAGGGAATTAAAAACAGTAGGCATGTTGCCAGTTCTGCTCCATTTTGGGGGACAGTGCCAGGTTGCAGCCACTTTTAATGAACGCAGACGTATGATCCCTGCATCCCCTCTCCAGCTGCACGTATTTGGCTTTGCCTTACCTATAACAGCTTGCGGTGGCACGGCGCTGTGCCAGGGCAGGGCTGTGCCAGGCATGGGGCACGCAGGTCACCTCTGTGGGGACACTGCTCTTGCCCCATGTCCTGCCTCGCCGTGGGCAGCTTCATATCACATATCAGCATCTTGTAGGCTTGCTGATGTGCAAGCCCACAAGCTCAGCCTCAAGCAGCAGGGCACACGGGGAAGAGGGGAACAGGATAATTCCAATTACAATAAAAGGCTCTTAAAGCTTTTTTTAGCTGAATATGCTGTGTCTTCCTTTGCCAACATGCACAGAGTGACCACATTACATTGTCGATGTCCAAGAGCTGTTTCCTGCTAGAACTCAAAAACATCTTTGGAAAAGCTCTTCACTAAATTTTATAAGACTATTTTTTCTCTCAGCTATGGTCAGGCAAACCTGAAACCAAAGCCACAGGTTTTAGTTGAGAGACTCCTGATTTACAACACTTACTAGGAAAAGAGCATAGTTTTGTGTGGGAACAAATCCTACTCAGGTGAGGCATGAAGAGAAAATGGCCCCCCTTGTTCTTGTGTAGGAGATGGGCTTCAAGCAACAGGTATTATAGGGGCTATAATTTCAGATGATCGGGCAACCCTACAGAGTGCAAGATTTGACTGGGGAAATGAGATGTCAGAAATGTCTTTTTACTGCTTTATGCTTTATCATTAAAAAGCTGAATACTTAAAAACTTAGCCCCAGCTGGTTCAGGATACCCAGGGTCTCCTTTTTGTCTTCCAAAGGTACTCAGCACCTTGAAGGAATGAGATGAAATAGTTGTGTTGAAACTGTGTTGTGAAGTTGCATTGTGTGTTGAAATGTAGTAATAAAACTGCTTGTGGGATGACACCAGAGTGATGAAGACATAAAGGATGGCCAAGCACAATCATGGTCTGAAAGACAAAAAAATGTCATGTTAACACAAAATTTGATGTCCTCCATGCAATTTTCTGTGCAATATTCATCTGTGCTTGACTTTAAATATGTCTATTCCTAGTGAAGGTGTCATATTTAACATTATTTTTCCCCCTCTGTTCTTTGTATTGTAGGCTGGAAAAAGACAGTTGGTAAGCTGGGATTTGGACACTACTTGGGTGGATTTTGTCCAGTTTTACATCCAGATAGGAGGAGAAACTTCTTCATGCAATAAACCGGACAGCAGAGAAGAAGGTGTGCTGCTGCAGTACAGCAATAACGGCGGTATCAACTGGCAGCTACTAGCAGAAATGTATTTCTCTGACTTCAGCAAACCCAGGTATAATTTTGGTCTAAATTAAATCCATACTGCATCAGCTCTTAAAAAAACCCCTATTTCTCAATTTATGAAAACATGAATAATAATTTCAAGCTATAATGCTTAAAAGCCATCATTATACGGAAGCTTTTCCAGGCTGCCACAGTAAACTCCTGTCACTAGGAAGGAAAAATCTAATGAAAGTGGGCCTTAAAAAAACTGAAGTAAAATATAAAGTTTCCAATCACTCATCTCCTGTGTGAAACGTGACTAAAATGCTAACATGTGCAAAAGATTAGCAAGCAAATACAGAACTTGCCCAGAAAAGGTGTAGAAATCTGCCATTTCCTCTGACTCTGGTTTCAGATCTAATGAACATGTATTAATGTCACATAAAACAAAAATTCCTTTAAAGAAATATTTAAGGAGTAGAAGAAATCATGTTCAGCGTTTCAAATTTGCTGTGAGATAGCTTGTCAGTGAAAATTTTAATTGCATTTGTCTGCGTAGGTATTAACATGATTTCTATTACCTGTAGTTCATGTTTTTCAATATGTAAATAATTTTATCTTCCCATCTTGTCATTTTGCATTGCAATGAACAACATCTTCAGAAGGACTGCTATAACTCAGCAAACTGTCCTTTTCTAAAGGTGATCTAGGCACTTGGAAGTTTAAAACCATTGAACTTTAGCCTCTACTTTGTCAAAATTACAGGATACATCCAACAAAGAAGGTACATACTGAAACCTTCATCACTGGATCATCCAATACATTATTTTTAGACAAAACATTTTCCCCTCTGAGTAACCAAGAGTGATGGTCCTTACTGAATATAGCTATGTATATTTATTTTTCTGCCACTTCAAATGTGGTCCAGATCTTATTTTCCAATTCCTTATTTTCCAACACAAAAATCTAGGAATCCTCTGGAAAAGAAGGTTCCCTCTAGCCCTGAACAATTCCTCCACCTCTCTCTGCCTAGCCAGCAAGTGAAGCAGGGTCCATGGTACAAAATAACATGTGGTATAAAGAAACAGTACAGAAGGGAATATATGGATAAATGCATATATGTAAGGTGTCTGAAATAGGACTGAAAAAGTAACTAATTATTGTACTTTTTAACATAAGTATGATTAGGTTTGAAACTTTAACTTCTATTTAACATCATTTTTGTAAGGTGTTTCCTAAGTTGAACATAAAGCAAACTATCTGAGAAAACCTAAAGTTCTTTTATGAAAATCCATATATAGGAGGGCTGAAATATTTTTATCCACAGCAGAAAATTCTGCTACATAATCTATGGCATTGTAATAGAAGCATGCTTTTGTCTACAAATAGGACCAACCAGCAGAAGAGAATAAGAAATGAATTTTGTCAGCATGTTTCACTGTTACTTGCTGGCACCAGAAGAACGTTAAGACGTGCTGAACATGGATCAGCTGAACAGTTTAATTCAAAGCTGAAGAGTTCAAATCAGTTCCTTATTGTGTTAGGCAATATAGCAATAGAGAGTGAAAAATAGCTGTTATCTTAAAGTGTTTACATTCTCCACAGACAAGAAGGACAAAGAAGGCTTCTTGATATGCAGTGTATAAGTAGGTATCCACATATATAGAGGATTTCTGAGGACTTCGACATGTAAGATAGATACTGGCTTTCCTGCCTTTTTTCCCTGTTCAGTGGTATTTCTCCCATTTCTCTACAAACTGTGTTCCCTAAAGTTCTTCTGAATTTCTGTTCTTCAGGTTTGTGTATCTGGAGCTGCCTGCTGCAGCCAAGACGCCTTGCACAAGGTTTCGCTGGTGGCAGCCCGTGTTTTCAGGGGAAGGGTATGATCAGTGGGCCATCGATGACATCATCATTTTGTCAGAGAAGCAGAAGCACATCATTCCCGTTGTTAATCCCACTTTACCACAGGTAATAAGCAAGAGCAGGCTGTGGGCATACCCACAAAACAGGAACCATTCTCTCTGTTAGTAGACTTTTCTTTGAATATAATTTTCTTCGAAAATATTGGGTGTATTTAAAGAAACAGCTGTAGTGTTTGCAGCTGTGTCTCTCTCTGCGGGAATAACAGGGGTCTTATCACAAAACCATCAGGCTCCTAATCTTTGTGACAGAGGATGTAATTATGTATCTCTTCAAAAAGTCAAGACAGAAATTTTGGAAATTACAATTTTTTGAAAATGACAGAAAGTACAAATTCCAAAATTTGAAAGTTGATCATTCTGGAAATTATTCTGAAGTCACACTGCAAGGTGATAGTACTTGTTGTTGTTTTCCTTTTCATTTCTAACAGAACTTTTATGAAAAGCCAGCATTTGATTACCCTATGAACCAGCTGAGCGTATGGTTAATGTTGGCCAACGAAGGGATGACCAAAAATGAAAGTTTCTGCTCTGCCACCCCCTCTGCCATGCTCTTTGGTAAATCAGATGGAGACCGGTTTGCAGTGACTCGAGATTTAACTCTGAAGCCTGGATATGTCCTGCAGTTCAAGGTATTCCTTAAACATAAATCCCTGCAGAATATCAGTAAAACTGCCCTTAGTCAATACTTGCAAGATGTCACTGGGGCCACCGTTCAAAACAAGGTGATAAATTATACCATTGCATAAAAAGATGTGAAGAGCACAAGTATTAATTCATACAGCATAAAATATCATGCTGCTTTCTAAAAGGATAGCCAAAATCTTGGTGCAGGAGAGCTTTTTTACCCCTCTGGAGAAATTTAAAGTTTGTTCTTCAACGCGTTTCAGAAGTGGATTGAAGTGACTGTTCTTATATTCGAGTCAGTACTAGGAAATGCTACTGCACTGTCAAGGGAAAAAGGATTTAACCCATCTGGGGCTCCGTGACTACAAAAGCTCCAATGTGGTTTGCGTACATTTTTTGTATTTTAAACTATTTAAGGACTTACAAGCTGCTCTGTACTCCAGTGTGGCTTTTTCATATAATTTACTTTTATTCTGTCAATGAATATAGGCTCCAATTAGCATTCTTTTCTTTAAAGGCCTTACAAAAATTTCAGTGGTCTGACAATACATCAGAATATGAGCTCCAAAGAAAGTGTATTTGCTTTGACAAGCTCTTCTTTCTGAACCCTAATCAAAATTTTATTGAGTTTATAATGAAATCCCATTGGTGAATTCTGGAGGTTGGTTGCAATGCAATTTTAATGAGCGCACCACAAATACATGGTCCTTACATAATTGGTGGATACAGACACTGAATAATTTACAAGTGGAATTATTAAAGAGATCAGATGTTTACAGGCAGCTTTTCAAATATAATTCCCACAGTTCTATAAATAGGAAAGTTAGTTAGAAATAATGGGATTTGTAAAATAATCTCATTTCATCTGAAAGTTATGCTAATACAAGAAATGCTATACAAACTGAGGGATTGCAGTACAATTTCTGAGTGAGTATTGCTTGTAGTTTTATGCTTTAAACTGTCTAAACCACAAAAATATTTCAATATATAAATACCATTTAACTTGGAAAAGATGCTATTTGCCTCTTGTCCACTTTCCTCTACCTCAGTGACTAAGTCTCCATTCTGTAGGTTTGATGATCAACAGCATTTCAAAAATTGTTTAGTCTAAAAAAGCAATACTTAAAAATATTTTGTAAATCTTCCATCTCTGAAACACTTGGCAATGTAACATAAATATACAAAACATAAACAACATGTATCAGAGAACAGTGAGTTCTTCTTTATAAAGTCTATTATTTAAGGCCTGAATTTATACTCCTCTCTTTTTTGGAAAGCTTTTAAACTGGCCTGCATGTAAATGCGTTAGAACTATTTGCATGCTTTAATTTTAAACATATGGTTAAATGCTTTCCTGAGTTTGTGAAATTTCCATTTTAAATAGCTGCCTGGAATAATTTTGCATTGATAAACTCAAAGACAGTAATTTGTCAAAATTATTTCATTTTACATGAATGATTTTGTTTTACATTTTACATTCTACAGCTCAAGTAGAATTTCTGCAACAAAATAATGAAAACTAATATTTTTCTGATAGCTTGAAAATTAAACTGAAAACTTCAAATCAGCCATTGATTTTTGCCTTGGTTACATTCTCATTTCAGATTTTAGTATTCATTTTTCCACTTCATCCAATTTTGCTGTATTCTGGGGGCCCAAACTGCAGCGCCAACTCCCAGACATCATTCCTGCGAGGTCAATGACTAGGCTGTGGTCAGGGCTGGCAGCCCAGGGCAGGGGGGACCTGGGAGTCAGGCTGATCCTCCGGGCACATTGGAGTGGACTGCAGGTGGGATGGGTTTCAGGGGATACAGCTCTTCTCGCTCCTTCCAGGCGTGAAGGTGCCTGCGCACAGTTTGCTCTTTGCGGCCTGCTATGCACCAGGACCTTTGAAAAGTTCTTCGCACATTTCGATGTGCTGCACCCAACAATCTCAATAAAGGGATAGTAGGAATTTTTACTGAGAAATGTCATATACATGTAGGAAACAGACTCCAAGCATTAGTCACTGTTTGCCAGCAGGGTTCAAAGCAGGAGTTCAGAGCGCTAAGCCTCCCAAACCGAAAAGTCAAAAGTGATTTGCAGCCAATAAATACAGCGCTCGTATCTGTTGCTCTGCTTTTTTGCAGCTGAACATTGGTTGCACTAACCAGTACAGCAGCTCTGCTCCTGTTCTGCTTCAGTACTCGCACGACGCTGGGCTCTTCTGGTCGCTCGTGAAGGAGGGCTGCTACCCTGCATCTCCAGGCATGAAAGGATGCGAGGGAAGCTCCCGGGAGCTGAGCGAGCCGACTGTGTATCACACGGGAGACTTTGAGGACTGGACAAGAATTACTATTGTTATCCCCAGGTCGCTTGCAGCCAGGTACTGTACATAAACCAGTGATGCCAGTGGTACCCGTGAATTAGCTGTCTCTTCTCTGATGCTACATTAGGAATAAGTTGCAAGCTGTGAATAAAAGTGATGTTAAAAATCGGCAGATGTGGGAAAAATATACTGTGCTCTCCAAAACAGGGAGAAGCTTTCCATTTTAAAGGTGTCAGAATGGTCTATAAAATTAAATTACAAAGCAACAAAGAACCCAAAACATTTTAATTTTACATCAATCTCTTCATGATGGTGCTGTCTGTCTTTACGCATATCAGCTAGGTCAGAGGCACCAGCAAGAGAGTCGTAAGTCACTTGAATCAAATAAGCCATTTGAACAGGATTAATTTAACAGTTACCACTAGGCAAAGAAACCCTAGAAGGGTATTTGAGCTGCTGTGTAATGTGCTGTGTCATTGAAGACGGCCGGGACAGCTGAAGTCAAAGGAAGGAGGAATGGAGGTGTGCTCCTCTGCGAGTGCGACCTCAGCACCAGCTTAATACAGGTGAGAAAACATCAGATGATGGAAGACGCAAATAAGCCTTGAAATCAGGAGCCTTTTCTCTATCTTGCTTGGATTTGGCTGAAGTTTCTCGTTCCCCTTGCTCGCTGTCTTACACCATCAGTAAACCACCCTGGTCTGATTTGCTGCCTGCACCAAACGCTGCCAGCGCAGCCGGCAGCCGGCCCCCCCGAGCCCCCGGCCGTGGCCCCGCTGCCTCCTGCCTCTCTCCTCCCAGGCAGCCACTGTAGTGCTGCCCCCAAGTTTCGGCTCCGTCCTCCTGCCGCGGGCTCCTCATCCTCAAGCCCCGGCACAGAATTTCAGTATGTGGCATACTGTGTAGCAGGGGAGCCGGTGCCTTTGCCGCAAGGAGCTGAAATAGCAGCGTGTACCGTAACAAGTTTGTCTTTTCTTCGGTAATTAGCCAATAAAAGCAGGTGCCAAATTGCACAGATCTGACACCAGCTGATTTGATTTACCCAAAACAAGCAGTGCAGAATCAATAGCAGCAATCTGTTTGGCACTATGTTCAGTAATGTGATTGGGAATAAGAAGCTCATGCTAATACATTAAAAATCTAAGTATTGTGAATATGATGAGAATCTTGGCATTGTGAGTCACTTTGGAAATCATGGTTCATGGGCTATCCAGAGAGCATCCCGTTTCATCCGTTGGTACAAAGCACTATCACGATGATCACGTATTTACCAAATCCCAGGGCACAGCAGAAAAAAAGCAATAGGTTTGTTACAAGGAGGATCTTAGTTAATCCATTGGATTTGCCATGAGATTTTAAATTCATTCCCCCCCCTGGACCTCCTATAAAATGATTCGGCTGAAAGTTAAAAACTGAAAATTAAAAACCAAAATATTTTTTCTTCAACAGATTTCCTATGCTGTGGGTCAGCTGGAGTAACTTAGTGTACGCTCACCGAAGCCCCCAGAGCAGTTTAAATTCTACAAGCTAAGGATTAGATCACTGATTTCCAGGAATTTCAGTTACCATCCAAGAATAAAAACTTTGTATTTCTCTCCACATGTCCTGTAGGACACGTTATTTGCCATTCTTTTTATAAAGTGGATTATTTTTCTTGTATCCAAATTACTTGAAGGTTTTTTACTTAAAATTATACGATCCTGTAATAAACTCTGCATCGCTGCCATTATAAAAGTACCATAAGAAATGGAGTTCTAGGATTTTAAAATGTAATTAGCAGTTCTGGTTGAACTGAGTAGTGAAAGGCATCTTCAGATCATCGTCTAATCATTCACTCTTGTTGATAAAACCATGTATCTCTTCTTTGCATCACACTGGTAGATATGGGCCAGAGAAGTCAAAATACATTAAAAAAAAAAAAAGCCCTGGAAAATATTTCCGTAAATGAAGTTGAATAAACTGTAGGATGTCAGAAATATTTTCTAGGCATCCATTTGCATCTTAATTGCAAACAGCTAATTTAGGAAAAGCTCCTTTTAATCTTAAACAAAGAGCACATAAAGTATGCAGTAGGCATTGAAGCTGGAAAGGGTAATATTGTGCCTTTCGTCGTTTTTTCTCTACAGTAAGACTCGATTCCGCTGGATCCAGGAGAGCAGCTCCCACAAAAGCGTGCCTCCTTTCGGCTTAGATGGTGTTTACATTTCTGAGCCTTGCCCCAACTACTGCAATGGTCATGGGGACTGCGTCTCGGGCGTCTGCTTCTGTGACCTGGGCTACACAGGTAAGACAACCTTTTTTAGGTGGGATTAGGTAAGCATTGGCTGAGTTAAAGCTGTAAATCTAGCATCTTGTTTTTCCTCTCCGATATTCCGGAAAAATATATGATGACATAAATTTCACGGGCTGCCAGCAAGAATCCTTTCATTTTGTTAAATAAAATTCAGCACAGGCAAAATAGAGCAGCGGAAGGCAGCTGACACTGGTGATGTTTCTGGCAACCACAATCTTTGAACATCACCATCTGTATGAATGGGGAAGGGACTAGTGATAGAAGAGAAAACAAAATAAAATATTGTAAACTAAAAAGTCTGCTTAAAAGCCTTTGGATCATCTTCAAAAGAATTGCTGCTGTTTTTGAGTCCCCTGGCCATCAGATGGCATGGGACCAGGAGGGAACATATGTTCTGACAGGTCCTTCTGTGGAAAATTCTGCTCACTTGTGGTTTCAGGGGCTTTTATGCTGAAACACACACAAAAAAAAACCCCAAACCCAATGAAAAAAAAACAGTAATTGACACAACCAGTTGCATGCTGCACTCTTTTCAACCCTCTATACCAACAAAAAAATAAGCTAACATCTTTTGCTCAATTTGTTTAAAATGAAATAAAAGGATAATATTTTCCTGTTTACATAAAATGCCTTATCAACATAAAGTGTGGCTGGTTTTCACCTAGTGAAATAAGCCATCTCAGAGTTTAGAGGAAGAGGCTTATTCTGCCTACGAAAATTTATAAAGAGGGTTTGAAAAGGTACAATCCTGTTGTCAGGGCATTTTCTTAGAAAAGCCTGGTACTTTCTCATATGTGAATGCAACAGAACCATCTGCCAATGTACTGTATCTGACCTTTACTCTGTTCAGCACAGTTTCACCAAAGCATCTCCCATATTTTTTTTTTTTTTTCTTGAAGCATCACATGGAACCTGTGTGTCTAATGTGCCTAATCACAGTGAGATGTTCGACAGGTTTGAGAGGAAGCTAAGCCCTCTCTGGTACAAGATAACAGGAGGTCAGGTTGGGACAGGCTGTGGCGTCCTCAGCGACGGAAAATCTCTGTACTTCAATGGACCTGGCAAAAGGGAGGCAAGGACTGTTCCCCTGGACACCACAAATATCAGGTCAATCCTCAGTGCTGCTTCTCACAATTGTCTGTGTATTCATGTTGTCTCCTCTCCGCTATTACAAGTGTAGATGTGAGAAGGTGTGAAATGTTTTTCTGGTAACCGCAACTTGTATAAGAAATCTTAAAGCCAGAGAAATTACTTTTTTGTTTACTCTGGCGTACTACCTCCTTTTCTTGAGAGGGAAAACTTATGTTAGAAATTGAATGGAATAGCAGCATAGAAAATATTACCTGTTTATCCTTCTGAGAAGATGATTTGCATTGTATTCTAGATGGACAGGCAGAAGATGTGTCTTGAGACTGCATAAAACCTAAGATTCTGCCCATAGCTGGACAGAAAAACTCCTTTTCCCTCGACTGTGCTGAATTGCAGGCATGCCGATGGCGTAGCAATGAGCTGTTGTTTACTTGCCAGATGTTGTGAATTAGTCCACTTGTCACAAGTGCAAAAAAACGGAATGTGAATTGTTTCTGTGTAGTCAAGAGGCTAACAAGCCTTCACCTCTCTCCCCGCTACTACTGAATCCTGCTCTGCTGGTAGCAATTATCCTTTTTCTCTCAAATTGTCTAATTGATTAATGTAATTAGGATAAACAAAGGGCTGTTAATTCTAATCATTATTTAGCCTGGAGTTTGCTGCTGCTTTGTTCAGTCTCATGAGTGATCACGCACCTGAAACCTTGCCCACCCTACAATTATATCAGTTAGCTTAATAAAAGATATTTCTCCTGACAAATACTGCTCCAAGAGTAAGTAATGCTGTGATTTGCTGCATTATTTAATTTGTGGGATCATTCAGCAAAGATTGGCCACAAGTTGTTGCTACCGCTCTCCAGCTCAGACAAGTGGTGCTCCTTAGGGCAGTATGGGTGCTGTGGGTTTTGGGACATCCTTCGCTGTTCCCCGGCACTAAGCAGCACAGCACCACCTGCCTTTCCTCTGTCCCCTGCATGTCTGACAAACTGTCCTCTGACAAATATATGAATTATTTATATAATTATGTAAATTACTTAATAATTAAATTAACTAATTGTTTGACAAATACACTTTGGACAAGTACATGTTTGCTCTGGAACTCTGGGAAGATCTGAGCACTTCTTTTGTGTTCCACTGTCTTTTTAATTCTTACGTTATTTATCCTGTGAAGCATAATCTTGGAAGTAACCACATCATCAAGAAGTCTATGTTCAAACAGTATTTTTGAGTTCTTCCTTCTTTCCTGGAGAAATCTTTTTATAAAAGAAAAGGATTTTCTTTAGCTTTAAGATTACTTTGAAACCACTTTTAATACCAGATGATATACATATTTATAGCTTTCCATTTTTATAGAGTTTGAACCATTTAAAAAGCCAGAAGTAGTTTTAAAATACTGAGCAATGCTCTTTCTCGACTTTTAAAATCTATGACTACTTCTGTTTTGCATGAGAACATGGTCATCTGATGTCTCAAAACTGCCCCAAGAACGTACATGGCCAGAGGGACACCTGCTAAGAGCAACTAAGATCCCTCTTCTGAGCACGTGCTCACCATGTGAGCTGCTCTCCTGCTGTGACTGATCATTTTGTCAAAATAAACCAGCACTGAATTTTTCTATAAGCATCACAGTGAGCAGTTTAACTTCCTTGAACAAGTCAACTTTGATGCCACATCGCTCGGCTGTTTGCTAGACAGAACAAAAGCACTGGTCATCTCAAACACAAATGGGACTAACACGGATTCTTCAGTTTCTTCAGCCACACGTCTGCTCAAGGGTAGGATTCTGCTCATGCAGCTTGACCAGAACATGGACTCATTAGACTACAGCAATTACCCCAGGCTGCCTGTATGCTCAAAGGAAAGAAATAGCTACTTCAAAAGGGCAATGCAACTCATCCTAAAATAGGGTTAGCTAAGGCCATTGCTTTGTCTTCTGGAAGCATGTATTTTCGTCATTAATTATAAGGGAATCTGGGTTGATCATGTAAGACTTAGACATCCAGCCTTCAGGAACCTTGCTTAGAACAGGTGCATCCCACTTTAATGTTTGAGACCATCTGTAACATTAAGTGGGTCTTTTTTCCTAGAAGCAAAGGCAGACGAAGTTTGTGAGAGTGTGAAGGGTTAACTGAAAGACCCATACCCAAAAAGAAAATAATTCCTCAGCCTTTTTTTCCATTGTTGGAGCTAAAATTAATGTCACTTGAAAGAGGAGATTAGAGAGAAACACTTTTTCCCATGTTGGTATAACTTTTTGCATTCAGTAATGCTTTGCATAGAATTCAGATATCTTATTAGGGGTCATCTTAGCCCCTGCACAGTTATCTTTTATTTGTCCATGGGTTTTCTGGTTGGGGGGGTTTGGTGCCTGAGTAAACAGCAGGAAAATATGCCTTGAAAGACATACCGTTAGATATGTGGATTCAGAGTTGCGAATAGGAAGGCTGAAACTCCTGCAGTAGATTTTTAAGCTTCTTATTTTTCAGGTTAATAGTGTTTTCCCAGACCTTTTAAGATCTTGTTTCATTAAATCAGGCATGGAAGAGCAAAAAACTGAAAAATATTGCAAGACATTAAAGTTTTATTTTCATTCTGAATTCCTGCAGATCTACCCATGCGTATTCCCTATCATCTTGCTTCAGTTACAGCTTTTACAATGTAAAACGTAAATTTTATGTAAGGAATGTAAAGAACTTTTGTTCTTTTTTGTAAGAAGTACAAAGACCCTTTGCCTCCTCACCCTTCTCTTCCCAGAGGAGCGGGGTCCATGGGGGCTCGGTGCTCCCGGTTCATTCTGCTCCAAAGGGGTTGAGATTTGCCAGCCCAAGGCGCGTGGTGCTGCTCAGGGAAGCAGCCCAACAGGGCACCACCAAACTCAGGTTTCATGCTCAGAGCATTTAAAACTAAAGCTTGCTCCCTGAAGCCAAGGACTGTAAACAAGCACTTAATGTTTAGCATATACATTAAGTGCTATCGTAATCTTAGCTTTGTTTGTCCTATCATCTCGTTATTCCTTTATATGATTGACTACACTTTTCTCACACACATTAGGAGACAGTCCCATAGCACTGAGAGAGCTGTAAGTGTCACAATTCATTTCACCCAGACCATTTTTTGCCCTACACTTCAGATGGAGTTTCTCCATCCCTTCCCTTTGGTATGGCCCAGTGCGCCAAAGGCACAATTTCACTAGCAATATTTCTTTCCTCCTGACTGACAATATGATACCTGGATGCATTTTGGTTACTGATGAGCTACTGCCTCCCATTTTGATGGCCTGTCCCTTATGACACTCTTCACTATCTGTTCAGTGAGAGCATTTGCACACATGCCTACCTGGCAGCTAGAAAAAAATCACAGAATATATATATTTTTTCCAAGAGGTGACATCTGGCTTGTTAGCTGACTTGGCTCCCGTCTGCATTACAGACTCCGTTGCTAATGACTGTGCAACCATCCCAGAGAGCTGTTCTGGGTCAAACGTTTATGGATCAGATGGGCTGATTCACCCTTCTGCAGAAAGGGCTGTTTTTGTCTTTTGTTTCTGCTTTTTACCGATCTTTACATTTGGCAAGCATAAAAGAGAATTTCGTCATAGAACTGTAAATCTTTTCACCTCTGAGACTGCTGTCTAGTGTTTTATTGCCTGAATACTGTCTCAGACAACAGAGCTGCAGCAAACAATAGGATCTACCTGGCTAAATAGTGTAATACTGCCAGCCTGTCTGTTCTTGAGCTACCTATGGGGTTATATTGTGAATGAGACTGATGAGTATATTCTGGCTTGTCTTAGACCCTATGGATATACAAAACATCTCAGACAGGAGATACCACTTTCAATAACAGAACTGGAGTGCAGTTGGTTTTAGAATTGGAAGAGGATCGTGACATTGTGTATGTAGCAGTGGGTGAGGGAAACTGGAGTCTGTCTGCATCGTACTGGTTCTGGCTGTAGTCCTGTGGCTTGTCTGTGATTTTACTGATGTCACTACAAATTAGGACCAAATGCCCTAAAGCAAAAGGAGTTATCCTTGTGGGGAGTTATTTGAGTGACAAATCAAGGCTTGTTTCTTCACACAGAGACACAAATTCACCTAGAAAATAGGTATTTAAAATAAAGAAGTTATCTACAAGCTGTAGAATTAATGAAGCCTAGTTTTCTTTAGGTTTGTGTTCTTTTTTCTTCTAAAACCTCTGCTTGGCAATGACCCCATCTCTCCCTATGCGCTCCGTAAGGACACCCCCAGAACAAGGGACAAGCAGTTGCTTCCCAAAAACATCACATCAGCGAGTACTCTAATAGTTGTAACACAACAGGCAGGCACCATCCTAAGTCAAAAACTAGCTAGGAAACAAGGAGAAGGGCATCGCCAACTTTCAGCATGCAAAAGCTCAGCGTGGGGATGAGTCCAGGTTCCCTGCTCTGTTCAGGCGCTGTTTCAGGTGTGCAACGCGGACAACCTGTGAAGAAGGCGTAGATGAGGGGGCAATGGCATTCTCAGTCATCTCAATGGTCTTTACATTAGTTATGACCAGATAAGACTGAGACAAATGTCAGAGACATGCAATGAAATTTGGTGAGTGAGTAACAGGACATTAATTAAAACAAATTGCTGTTATATAGCACAATAGTAAACATCTAAGAGGAAATGTAAACTATTCTGATACCACAAAGTCACAACTAAAAATATCAGTTCAGCAAGGGTACCAGGGCATCACTGTAGATTGGGAAAAAAAATGGCAATATTTTGGAGCACAAGGATGGGATAATTATTAATTCAAATATAGCTAGATAGGGATGTTCCAGGCTTAGCGAAAGCTCTGTGAATAAAACCAGCAACACTGTCTCAAAGAGATGTTGCGGCTTTAGAAGGGTTGCAGAAAATCGTTATGGGAAAAATCAAGGACATGGAAAAATTTTCATGCAGAGAGACAGATGAAGAGGTTGCCATGGTTTACCCTAGAAAGGAGGAAGAGAAGGTAGGGAAGTGATAAAAGCACCGACTACAGAGAAGGTTGCAAGAAAGGCAGATCAGGAACATTTTTTTCCCCTACCTCGTGACGTGAGAACAAGAGGATGTTCAATGATATCAAAATGTATACATTCAAAATCAAAGGGTCTACTTCACAAAATGTCCCATGAACTCTTCTCACTGAAAATTGCTTACATCAAGAATTTAAGGACCAAAAAGGGATTTGTGGTTTAGTGAGGATTTAATAATTTTATTAAAACTCTAATACTGTATTTTAAAGCCTAAACCAATTTCCAGTTACAAGAGGCCAAGATCAGATCTGATGTAAGGAGCACATTTGCCTGCTTTGGAGTTTTTGCATCTTTGTGTGGAAGAAGGAACTGCTAAAATCTGCTACTCAGTCCAACGATTTATTAGGCACAGGATCAATAAACCGCATCACCTTCTTCTATCTTGGGTCCTCAACTGTTTACTATGGCAATGTTTGATTTCACTGGGAACATTACCTGATCAATAAGCCTGGAATAATGACCTAACTGAAAATGCCACTTTAGTTAAGAAAGGAGACTGATCTTGTGCTATCAGAATATAATTACACTTCTCTTCAACTCTAATTTTTTTAACAGGCTAGTTCAATTTTATGTACAAATTGGAAGCAAGGCGATTGGTAACTCCTGCAACAGACCAAGAGCCAGGAATGAAGGTAAAGCCTCTTTTCCTTATAATAAGCTTTTTGTATTTCAGGTCTTCTACAGTGTTTTTGCCCTTTACTGCCTTTACAAAATCAAAAAGATTGTTTTATTTTGAACATAAATCAATTACCTCTTCAGTTTTCATAAATGGTGCAAAAAACTATTTATTTTTGTTCCACATTTGTATTTATGCTTATTTCCACCAAACCTAATGGTGATCTATCAATAGGAGTAAATTTGTTGGAGCTGTGATGGTTTAAGACAACATTTACAACAGAAAACTTGTTCAGTTTCTCAACTGCACCAGTGGGTCTAACTAAAGATTGCCTTCCAACCCAAGCTCATGCATGATTCACCTGAAATGCAAAATTATAAAGCTGCAGCTGAAAATATATTTAGTCTAAAGAAATTAATCTCTCCCAGCTGTCTCCTCTCTTATTTTACCCACATGCTTAGAGTTACTGAGGCAGGGGGCTGATATTTGTGTCTGGGAAGGGTTGGCAGAGCAGATTTGGGAGCAGAATCCCCATGTAAAGTGGTCTAGTTGCATGAAGACAGATCGCTGACATCTGGTAGATGAGAAAACCTCATTTTCCTCTCAGTATAAATCATTTAATATCAGTGGACTGTTTCCTGATATATGGCATTTACACTGATACTGACTCAGAACTGTCATTTTTCAGCACAGATTACACTGAGGGTTTGATTCTCCTCTCATCTGCACCGGTATAAGACACAAGAAAATCCATTATCTTTGAACATGCTCCAGTATAAAAGAGTTTTAAGAGAAGAAATACACATAAGAAGTGCTTCTTTCTTCTATTATCCCCTGTGATGAGCTCATAAGTGACTTCACAATTCTGCTATGTCCTAGTATTTGCCTTACTATGTGTAAGATATGAAGACTATTTTAAATTATCTAAATATTACAATAATTAACTTTTAAGGATGCTGTGAGCTGGCATAAGCATTGTGAACTACCCATGTTGGGAGCCCAGCTATCAGAATTACAATTTAGTGTCCCACACAAACTGCGAGGGTATCCAATATGAAATAAATACTGACTATATTAAGAAAGTCACATTATTCCTATGGTTTCTGTGGCACAATCATTAGTTTCACTGAGGTTGTAAAGGATTTGATCCTTTGAGTTTGGTGAAGACAAGCAAGATAACGTGTAGCAGCTGGTGAGCGCACATCACTTTTGCAGTAGGACTCCGTCCACAAAATGCTGCTGGACCAGGGGATGCCAAAAGGGTAGGGGAAATGCCAAAAGTGGCAAGCACTGGACAGGGGTTGGCAGCTCCTGAGTGCAGGCTGAAGAGTTGTCCCCTTTTGCTCTGTAAAGTCAGATGAACTCCCTTTCTTAATTTTACATGCAGGGCTTGTCGTTCAATACACAAACGATAACGGGATCACCTGGCATTTGCTGCGAGAGCTGGACTTCATGTCGTACCTGGAACCCCAGGTTGTATCGATAGACTTACCTCGGGAGGCCAAAACCCCCGCCACCGCTTTCCGCTGGTGGCAGCCACAACACGGTAAGCAACGCCATCCTAAAAATTCATTAAGCAGCTTTACACAACCCACATATCAATGCTTCTCAGTATGGACATGTTCTGCATAAACTTCAGCTTACCAAACATACGGTATGGTGAACAGTTTGGGCGCTGTAAGAGCATATTTAGGCTTTCCTCAGTCACACTGCAGACATGATTTTCTTTTACAGCACCAAGCGGAATAGTGGGCTTAAGAGTAAAATTGTTTAAGAGCTAAGTTTGAATCAAAGATGCTGAGAGATAACAGAGGGGAAGGGAAAAGAATATTACACAGAAAAGCCTAAATAAGATGAGAGAATTTACCTGAGTATAGAGTGACCTGGGATACAAAATGACTCACACATTTTATCTCACTTTTTCTCTGTGTTGGAAAAGGAGGCATAACTTGGCCTTGAATCTGCCTACCTCGTCGCTCCCATCTCACTATTTTCATATCTCCACACTCCAAAACAGGACCCCCACCCCCTGCCATTTCTGGTGTCCCAGCACCCTGCTCCCCTTGCCTTCTGCTGCACCCCCAAAGCACACTCAGCCGCTTCCCACATCCTCAGCTGAAAGTAAAACCCTGGTGCTGGCTGATACCTATAGCCACTGTGAGAGCTCCCACCTTGCGCGGGGGCACATTACCACTATTAAAAGTGTCCTGATTAAGTGTCTCGACTTTGTGCAAGGCAGCAGCTGCTGGATCCCTGCAGGAAATATAAGGTGATATTCAGAAATATAGCAAAGTACATTTTAATAGCAATTCCCTGGGGAGAAAAGCACACAGCTTACATTCAGGTAATTATGGCATGCAGCTTCTGGGATATCATTTATCATTTTGATGGCTGGTTTTTATTCATACATTTTCTTACAATATATGTGCTGGGGTTAATTGTCCTCACTAGGCAAGAAAGTAGACAAGGCAAGAGCGATGTGATTTAGTTAAGAAGCCAGTTCATTTGGGAAAAATGCTGGTGCATCACAGACCATCGTTCTGCCATGATTGTTTGCACTGGTGAGTGGTGCGATGTCAGACCTGTTGCTCCCTCCCTGTGTCCTGCCCATGGCCGCTTGCTCTGGGGGCACCTGGATGACATCTGTCCCTGCTGAGAACCGTCACTCTAAGTCCACCTGACGGCAGTCCTGTGGCTCCCAGTAAGAGGGAGAGTTTATGACTGGAGGTTGAAATACCGCCTTCCATACCAGCATCCATAGATGACAACCGCTCCTCATTACAGATATTAAATCATTCATAGATTGTCCTCTGTCTGCCATAACTCAGTGCAGAGTGGCCTTATTAGCCATGGCTTATCATGAGCCATATTCCTCATAGTTGCAAGACAAAAGTCCTGGCACATCGCTGCGAGCTCACAATTTATTGTCAAGACTTTCCTTCTTCTGTGAGGGCAGCGATTGTACAGTAAGATGACATTTTCAGCGTTCAGAAAGATGAATTGACATGAAGGGCTGGAGAAATGGATTGGAGATGATGGGGAACTGAAATGCCTGTAGGCTGGAGAGCAAGAGAAGGGAGGTTTCCAGGAAGGAGAAGGTGAAGAACACTTCTATGAATATCATCTATATCAATAGCCTTCAGCATTTTCCTTTGTGTACTATCCTCTTCCATACAAAACGTACTTTGGGAGCTACACAGAGGGCTTTCCAATTTAGTGTGGGGAATGGCAGGAAGGTTGTGACCCATGGAATGAAAATCCCCAATCTAGGGGCTCAGGGAGTGTCTCATTCAAACACAGGGAGACTGTATGATGATGAAGGCACTGAAACTTGAGAAATTAAGAATGTTTATCTGAAATAGAGTCCAGGTTCGTCCTTGAGCAAAGTTTTAGTCTTGTTTACCAGTGCCCCGTCTACATGACTGCGCACTGCTCACTGGCTGAATGCAGGATGGGGGCATAAAAAATAACTAACAGGGACCTCACTAACCCGCACGTTTTGCTTTTTATAGGGAAGCATTCAGCTCAGTGGGCTTTGGATGATGTCCTTATAGGGATGAATGACAGCTCTCAGTCTGGCTTCCAGGATAAATTTGATGGAACTGTGGATTTACAAGCAAGCTGGTACAGAATACAAGGAGGTCAAGTAGACATTGACTGCCTGTCTATGGATACAGCTCTGATGTTCAGTGAAAACATCGGTATGTGTTACCAAACATTGCTACAGTTGTATGCACCTATTTTATAAATCATTTATGGGTCAAGTTTTTTACAAGAGGGGAGCTACACACAAATTCAAGTATATAGTAATCTGCAGGGAAGAGAAGGCTGAAAAAAGGTGAAAATACAGACAACAAATTTGAATGACAGTACTGAAAACATATGCATAAGTTATACTTTTTTTGTTGTTTTTCTCTGTTTTCTTAGGAAAACCTCGTTATGCCGAGACTTGGGATTTCCATGTATCATCCTCCACTTTCTTGCAATTTGAGTTGAGCATGGGTTGCAGCAAGCCATACAGCAATTCCCATAGCATTCACCTGCAGTATTCTTTAAACAACGGGAGAGACTGGCACCTGGTGACGGAGGAGTGCGTCCCTCCAACCATCGGCTGTCAACACTACATGGAGAGTTCTATCTACACTTCAGAAAGATTCCAAAACTGGAAGAGAATTACGGTCTACCTCCCACCCTCAACCAAGTGAGCGATGCTCTTCTGGCTGTTTAGCATGATCTAGATTTTGCTGATCTAATTTGAGCAAACATCCCCCAGCTTGGGAATTTTCTGCATGTCTTTTAAATTATTAAATGTGTGTTGTCACGCCATCGGAATTTTAAATTTCACTTCAAAATATTTCATCGGATATAATGTGAACTGCAGGAACTGAAGGAAATAACAACTTTGAATGAGTGAATTCTTAAGTCTTGCCTATAATCTATGACAGCAAGAACAGGAATACTAAACTAACCTTTTCTAACATTTACCCAATAAAAAGCAATAATTAATGCACTAGTGAATCTTTTCATATAAAAGTATTCTGTCATTGCACATAAGTTATAATGTTATTTGTCATCCAAGATTTAGGCATGCTAATTATGACATTCAGCAAGTCAAAATGCATGTTACTGGATGAGCCATCTCCACCCTTTTGACCGGGAGGAGAGTTCTGCCTGCCTCCTAGTGATATCACATGGTTGTAAATGGATGTGGCAGATATGCTGGCATCCGTCTCTCTGAATAAAACCATGCTCTAGTTTAGAAATAAGAGATGCCGATGATATTGCTTACCATTATTCTGAATAGTTCTGCAATTCATCAAAGCACCCTATACATTACCTCTGTGAATTTCATCACCCAGAAAATACAGTGCTAAAAATGGACACACGGAAAATGAACTGGGACTGGGGTTCACATCTTGGTTTCTAATTCCATAGTTTGCTCCAGAGGACCATGCATCTTCTTCCAAAGAATATTCTTCACAAATTTAATGATATCTTGATCCTGTCAAAGTCAGAGGGCAATTCTCTGTGTTGTTCCAGGCTCAGCTCCACAGCACATTTCCTGCCTGAACAAATCCAAGATCATCTAACCCATAGCATCTTGACAGATTTTTTTCCAAAATACTCTCCTCATATGAGGATAACAAGGCAGTCAGCAATTACAACAGTGTGTAGGCATGTGCATGTTTGTACACATATAGTCATACATTGTTATATATATATATACACTAACATATGTAATCATTGTTTTTTCTTTAAACAACACTCAGTATAAATGAACTTTCATTATTACTTAGTTTACTGAAGTAATTACGTTGTTTTAACTCTGCTAGCAACATATGGAGCTGTTGAATGCTAATGTAGCTAATAGTTCCTGCTCAACCACTTTGCTGACCAGCAAGAGCCACAACAATGTTGACTTTCTTGGTTTTCACCTTGGGCACCTTTTTAGAGTCTGCTGGAATTTTGCCTGAAAACTAACCTGAGAAATTGAAACTTCCAGTTTCAACTGGAATATGAGTCTTTTTCAAATACAGAAAGTCATGCTTATTAATATGCTTTTGTTCTCCTGAGGTTTATGGGATTTTCTTTATTACTTAGCACTTTGTGGAACAGACATTTTGAAGCCTGAAATACATTCACTCTGTTTTTTCTAGCTCTCCCAGGACACGGTTCAGATGGATTCAGTACAACTATGCTTCTGGTGTTGATTCTTGGGCTATTGATAATGTAGTCCTGGCTACAGGGTGCCCATGGATGTGCTCAGGCCACGGCATCTGTGATGCAGGTCGTTGTGTGTAAGTAGCAACCTGCTTAACCTGCTTCATAGAAAGGATGTTGGTCTTATCTAGGCCAGATGGATAACACCTTTTCCTCACAATTTGTTGCTAGGTGTGACAGAGGCTTTGGTGGTCCGTACTGTGTCCCTGTCATTCCTCTGCCGTCTGTCCTGAAGGATGATTTCAATGGTAACTTGCATCCAGACCTTTGGCCTGAGGTCTACGGTGCTGAGAGGGGAAACCTGAATGGTGACATCATCAAGTCTGGAACAGCTCTCATTTTTAAAGGGGTCAGAGATTACTTACATTGAAAAAATTAATAAAACCCAGTAGAGTTAAAAACAGAAAGTTAATTTTCTGTTGTTTCCCTCCATATGTTTATGTCAAATTCTTTAGGCTAGAATTTGACGCTTTCATTTTTCCTGTCTTTTCCTGCCCTAAATATGCACCATGTTTGTCACAGTTGTTTTTTATGAACAAATGGGTTTTGTCTGTTGGCTATTACCTTCATTTGTGGTAGAAATTCCTCCTTAAGCATCAAAGGAAACGAATGAAACTCTGCGGCTGAGATTCTTGAGGCCAAGTGAGTGATTTGGAAATACTGTACACATTACAATCAATGGGGTTTGTGTCTTGAAATCCCTGATTGGCTTTTGAGTATTTTGAATAATACAGATTAGTCAGCACTGTAGTCTATGTAATCAATATTTATGTAGCTAGCCTGTGTTTAACTTAATTCTATTGTTTTGAAGTTTTATAGCTCTTTAAGGATTTTTTTGTTAATTACAGGTTAAAAAAGGCCAGGAAATATATTTTCTGAACTTCTCAGTTCTTCAACAAAACACATAAATAGAAAGACTTTTGTTCACATAAGCACATAAATTTTAGGCTCACACATGAGCCTTCATTTGACACTGTGAATTCAGGTGCCCCGAAAAAGCGAAGTTTAATAACGTTGGGTGTAGAAATGAATTCTTTAGAAATAGTTCTTTGCAAAACCTTGACTCCAGTTCAACTTCTTTAAATCATCTAAATTACAAATCACAGGATCTCAATTGTCTAAAACTTGGATTGGTTGTTCCTGCAGGTTGTTCCCCTAGGGGAATGGGTCTGAGAAAGAGGGAAGCTCTGTGAGGTGGAGTTTGGCAGATCTCTGCAGAACAGGGACCCACTCTGGCCCCAGGATCCACACAACATTGAGCTCATCTCTAGAGATGGACAGGACCTGAGGGGTCACTATGAGGTTTCCTGTCTGCTCCCTTTCCATACTGCTCTAAGTTAAGAGGTTGCCCCAGAAGAGGATATTTGTACAAAATATTTTTTGAGACACAGAAAAAAGTTCCTAGAGAGGAGTCTTCCTGCCTGGAAATTAGGGTGCTTGGCTACTATACAGTTTGCCCAAAAAATGGGTATACTAGCTTGGCCTCAATGTCCGAGTAAGTCAGCTGCAGTTCTTGCAGATCAGATCACATCCCAGTGGTTCAGAGCATGAACTGAATGAGCTGTACCTGTGTCGGCACCTGATCATGTAGCTGTGCCTCTGGTGGTGACACACCCCCATATCTAGCCTTTTCCATTACTATGGCTCACCTTGCCAAGGCTATCACTATCCCCTTTTTCTGCCTGGGAAAAGGTGTGGGACAGAGAGCTACCTCTCTCACTGCCACCGGCAGTCAGTAACAGACAACATCCAGACAGTAGTAAGCTGCAGAGCATCTTCAATAACGGGAACTGAGATTCACACTATATATTCTGTATTTGCAGGAAGGACTGAGAATGCTTGTTTCAAGAGATTTAGATTGCATTAATACTGTGTACATCCAATTTTCATTTAAATTTATACATATATATACACACATATACACATATA